CTGGATGAGAAATGTACCTTTTGTCACACTGGTTCAGAGACTATCATACACTTATTTTATAATTGTCCTCTCTCATCTGGATTTTGGAAAGATATGGAAAATTTCATTATGATTAAATCCAAACACACTATCCAAATCAGATCTAAGGATGTTATTATCAAGTTTGAATGTAATGATAAAAGGTTAAGTTTTATAATTAATTTAATGTTTCTTTTAGGGAAATTTCATATACATAAAGCGAGGGTCTCCAAATCTCTCCCTAACTTTTGCGTTTTCTTAAATGACTTCCATTCATATGTTAACACCATAAAGTTAATTGTAAATAAGAAGGCAGAACTCACTTTAATAAGTCTTCAATGTTTATTTCTGATTGACCCTGCATAACAAAAACAATCAAAAAATGTACCTTTTGGAAGGTTGTATTATCTGTTATGTGCCTCTTGTCAATTAATGAGCTGATGTCTGTTCGTGTGTATATTTGATGTATGTTTGTTAGTGCGACTATGTATTTGTGACAAAAACAAATAAAGTTTGTTAAAAAAAAACAAAAAAAACCTTCGCTTTCTCTTGTCCATTTCAGTGAATTTCAAGCTAGGTACGGTGAGGCATGTAGTCTCAACGGCTCGTTGGTCTAGGGGTATGATTCTCGCTTAGGGTGCGAGAGGTCCCGGGTTCAAATCCCGGACGAGCCCACTTTTCTAAATTTCTTATTTACATCAATAATAAGAAGTAGTTTGTAGTGTCATAAGCAATTACAATTTTTTAAACGTTCCAGAAAATGCTTGTGCATGACAGTTTTAATTGAGATGAAGCTCGCCTTGCAAATGAGCACACCACAGAGCTCAAGTACTGCACAGATGTTTTAACTTTTTTCGATTGAAGAAGACTAAAAAGAAGAAACAATCTTTAAGAATGAAATAAAATAAAATAGAACAGAATAAACCTTATTAATCACACAGTCTGAAAATTCACTTGCTACAGCAGCACATACACTTAAAGAAGAAAAATAAGTTTACAGATAAATACACAAAAGCAGTGAGCTGTTATTTTAACCTTTAATTACAGCTCAGTTTAGTGTTGAGGTGAACACCCAGGTACTTAAAGGTATACGCCACCTCAAAGTCTACACCATAGATCAGCAGTACTCAATAGGTGGTCCGTGGGCCAGGTCCAGCTCGCGGGGCCCGCCCCAAACCGCCAGCAACCCCACCTCGGGCTGGCCCTCGCATTTGCACCAGCAGGGTAGAAATGGTGCTGGAGTGTATTGGTGTTTCTTTATATTGTATTGGTGTATGTGGAAGCTGATCCACCAGCTGACCTGTACTGCGGGGTCATTCCCCCAAGACACACAGCCAACAATGCAGAGTCATCTGAGAACTTCTGGAGGGGACAGCTGCTGGTGTTATAGGTGAAGTCCGAGGTGTAGAAGGTGAAAAGAAAGGGTGAGAGCACCGTACCTTGAGTAACTCCCGTACTGCGCACAACCACCTCAGCCATACAATTGTGCAGCCTCACGTACTGTTGGTGAGGTAATTGATGGTCCATGCAGTCAGATGTTCGTTCTCTCCTGCACCACTCATCTTTTGCTGCAGTAGACACGGCTGGATAGTGTTGAAGGCACTTGAAAAGTCAAAGAAAATGACTATCACAGTGAATTTTTACATCTCGAGGTGAGTCGGCGCCCGGTGCTGCAGGTAGATGATGGCATCCTCCACCCCATGTTTGATTCGCATGAAATGAGCCCACTGAGTCCACTGATCTCTCATTACAGACAAAGCAATTTATTTGAAGACTTTGTTTATTATAATTGTGATGATTTAGCTTACAGTTTATGAAAAACCCAAAATTCAAAATATCAGACAATTAGAATGTGGTGTAAAATTCCATGCTCATAATGTGACATTTAATCAGCTAATTAATCCAGAATTTATAGAATTTCAGGATGACCTTGTTCTGCATTTGCATTGCGTTATTGTTAGAAGTATGAACAATAATCTTCCCCCCAAAACGTTTATCCACATGAAAAAGGCTGCGTTGGCCGGGAATCGAACCCGGGTCAACTGCTTGGAAGGCAGCTATGCTAACCACTATACCACCAACGCACATGAGAATTCGATAGAGTTTTAAATTCTCACTCACAACAGCAAACGCTATGTTGTCATGTTGTTGCTTTGCTCGAGAAGGTTCTCAGTCATCCGGGCATTCGGGTCATGGTAATCCAAAAGGTTCAAATGTTGGCAACTTGTCAACAGCAAATGTTGGCTAAATTCTTTGATTTCTTGAAGACGAAACAATACGAATATGGGAGAGTCAAGCTAATAAATTGTAGATGTCTTGTTGTTTAAATAGTAGAGTAGTTTCGGCTCGAGCTACAGTTTATAAACTCGACTCTCCCATATTCCAGTTAGAATTGACAAAACTCCTCGGATGAGAAGCGAAACGTCTTCAAGAAACCAAAGAAGTACAGTTGCCTTCATTTGAACCCTTTGGATCATACTGTAGATTCTGACCCCAATCCCGGTTAGCTGAGTTGAAGGAGTCGATGGGCTATTAGATTTTTTATATAGTAGCGGGCTTATATCTGAGTGTGCAGATGAGAATGTACACGTACATGCATAAACATCTGAGACAACAGATATATAATAAAATATAACAAAATGTTGTATAGTTTCTAGGAGAAAAGCCACTGAAACAATACTATGGGCGTTTGCAAAACGTAAGTACTTGACATTTGACCCCGACGTGATTTGAACACGCAACCTTCTGATCTGGAGTCAGACGCGCTACCGTTGCGCCACGAGGTCCGGTGAAAACTAGTAATATTTCTCTATATGACTACATTAAAAGGATCACCAACGTGTTGTTTCTGATAATCTGTGAAGCGCTTCAACAGCATGTTCTTCTGCGCCAGCTAAAAACACACACGGTACACATCCCGATAATCACATCATCAGAGAAGACTGCTATCTTTATATTTTGTAGTTTCTGGGTCTGCAACATGGCCGGTTAGCTCAGTTGGTTAGAGCGTGGTGCTAATAACGCCAAGGTCGCGGGTTCGATCCCCGTACGGGCCACTCTTTTAAACCTTAAAAAAATCAGAAGTTTTTATTGCCATATTGTGTGCCAAGTCATTAGGAAATTGCTGCGGTATTTTGGTGCAGAAGGTAAGATAGAAAAAAGTAATAATTAAGAGATAAGCAAATATAAGAACTAATAAAACACTCATGATAAAATTATTAATGTAAAAAGTGGCAAGAATTAGAGAAGCAGCTATCTACTCCGTGTAGGTATTAATCTGAATATTTGTTGAATGGTTCAAGCACAGCATCGGGTCACGTGACTGGGACCAATCAACTTGAGTGGGCTGCCCTAGGATTTTCGTTCAAAAGTCCAACTGCAGAGGGGAAGAAACTGTTTTTGTGGCGAGAGGTTCTGGTCCGAATGGATCTGAGCCTTCTGCCAGATGGGAGCGAGTCGAAGAGACTGTGTCCAGGGTGAGACGAGTCAGCTATTATCCGACCTGCACGCTTCAATTTCCTAGAGGTGTACAGATCTTGAATGGAGGGGAGTTTGCAGCCAATGACCTTCTCTGCAGAGCGCACGACACGCTGCAGCCTCTTCTTGTCCCTGGTGGTAGCTCCAGCGTACCACACGGTGATGGAGGAGGTGAGGATGGACTCGATGATAGCGGTGTAGAACTGCCTCATCGACTGTGGTGATAGGTTGAATTTCTTCAACTGCCTCAGGAAGTACATCCTCTGCTGGGCCTTTTTTCTGATGGTGGTGATGGTGGGCTCCCATTTGAGGTCCTGGGTGATGGTGGTGCCCAGGAAGCGACATGAGTCCACTATCGTGATGGGAGTGTCAGACAGGTTTAAGGGGGCGATGGGGTGTGTGTGTTTCCTAAAGTCCACAACAACCTCCACTGTCTTCTGGGTGTTTAGCACCAGGTTGTTGTGGCTGCACCAGGACACCAGACGTTCAGCCTCCATTCTGTAAGCTGACTCATCCCCATTAGAGATGAGTCCGATGATGGTGTTGTCGTCAGCAAACTTAATTAGTTTGACAGACTCATGCTTGGAGGTGCTGCTGTTGGTGTACAGGGAGAAGAGCAGAAGGGAAAGAACACAGCCCTGTGGTGAGCCGGTGCTGATGGTCCGTTGGTCCGAGACATTCTTCCCCAGCCTGACTTGTTGTTTCCTGTCTGTCAGGAAGTCAGTGATCCACCTGCAGATGGGGTCAGGCACGTTCATCTGGGACATTTTGTCTTGGAGGAGGTCTGGCAGGATTGTGTTGAATGCAGAGCTGAAGTCCACGAACAATATCCTGGCGTAGGTACCCGGGGAGTCCAGATGCTGCAGGTCAGGATGAATTGTAGAGCCATGTTGATTGCGTCATCTACAGACCTGTTTGCTCTGTATGCAAACTGCAGGGGGTCCAGGAGGGGGGCTGTGAGGGTCTTGAGGTGGGGGAGAACTAGGTGCTCAAATGACTTCATGACCACAGATGTCAGAGCCACAGGTCTGTAGTCATTTAGTCCAGTGATTCTTGGTTTCTTGGGGACAGGGACTATGGTGGAGATCTTGAAGCAGGCAGGCACATGAGATGCCTCCATTGAGGAGTTGAAGATGCTGGTAAACACTGGGGCAAGCTCTTCAGCACAGTGCTTTAGAGTGGCAGGAGCCACGCCATCAGGGCCCGGGGCTTTTCGTGTGTTAAGAGACCTGAACTGCTTCTTTACATCTGCTTCATGAATGTGTAGATCATGAGTGGGGAGTGAGGGGGAGGGTGATGAAGATAAATTCCAGTGATGGTGATGACTCTGTAGTGGGGAGTGGCTGACCAATGTCTCTATTGTTGGGGCTGGACGAGGAGTGAGGCCTGCCTGATGGCTACCAAAGCTACCAGGGCAGCCGTTTGCGGCGCCATTTTCGTTCTCTTTTTTTGTGAGCCCTTTTCATAAATCTGCAAGTAAATTAATATTCTCTTGCTTCTCTCTGCCACTAACGTTGTCTCTTTGTTTTGTCTCTGCAAACTTCAAGAGGGTAGATTAAGCGCTTGTCGCAGTAGTTGATTGAAAAGTCCAGAAGATGCGCCCGACCTTTTCTAAATTCAAAGTGCACGCACAAGGACGGATTTAGCAAACTTGAAAAAACTATTTTAGACCTATCAAGACCGTAAAGGCGTTGGTGGTATAGTGGTTAGCATAGCTGCCTTCCAAGCAGTTGACCCGGGTTCGATTCCCGGCCAACGCAGTATTTTAGAGTGATTTAAGTCAAAAATAACAACAGCTTAGGCTGTGCAGAACCAGTACCGTTATAACATTAAATTTGGTTAACATAATCGGTAGAAAAAAATGCTTCAACAAAGAAAACAACATGCTTCTTGAGATCACAACATGTGCTTCACGCACGCACGCATGCATACTCACACACACATACACACACACACACACACAGACAGAAAGTTAGCAGTGGATATTAATAATAAATGCAGACACGGCTCTAGAGACACATAAAACCATCAAAGGGGAAAGTCTCTCCTCCAGCCAGTAGCTACTGTACATTAATTTGGAACCCTTTATTCATTGGTGTTAATCCTGCTTACTCTCCTTTTTCCAGTGTTGCCATGGATATGCTATTCCTATGGCAACTGCATGCCTTTGTGGATGGCCTTGGGCCCCACCATAGAGGACTCTCTGAACCTTTCATTAGACATTTTCTTCAAGCTCACAGAAAAATCACACAGGACGCACATGGCCCAACTCTGTCTCTCTAATTATGGCCTTTTCTCTTCTTTTTGCCCTCCACTCCTCTTTATTGTGTCCTCGTGCTGCTCTACCCTTTTGTTTCTTACTGTAAACCCCTCGCCTTCATTCTCATTACATAAAAAAACGATGTGTTCTGGTAAATATAGCTAATTAAATGACAGTGCTGGTAGGCAATTGTGATCCGATTTGTTTCACAATTTCGCCACGCTCCATGTTTCCTAATTTTCAGTGGCAATGGAAACCAGAGCTCCACTTAAAAGATGCATGAGATGTCTTGAGGAATGAAGAATAGATACGGAGGCTTGTCTGGAGAAAGTGTTTCTGTGTCAAGGTGAAAGGCAGGGATGGGAGTGGTTTGTGCAGACAGCAGCGAGGTTGTCTGGGCTCTGAACCTGAAGCAGAGTCCGGTTGTGAGTGATCGTGTACGTGTGCAGCAGGTGGGGGATCTCCACCTGCTGAATGAACTCTGTTAGCATCGGGGAGTATCATGGGCTACGGGTGGGCGCGGCCCTGCTCAGCATCGTGGCCGGCTGCATCATTATTGGGGTGTCCAGGGAATGTGATGCTGATGCTGTAGGAGGTATCTTCCTTGGAGCTGGAGGCCTTGGTGAGCTACCTCAGAACAGAAAAGACATTAGGTTCTGACTTCAGTTGTTCAAAGTCAAACATTTCTGCAATTTTAATCTAGATTTCTAATTGTTTTGTTTAGATGATTACAAAAACAGTTTTAACTGAAATGTTGTCTTTTTTCTTACGTTTTAAGAGGGCTCTAAGTGTCTTTTATGTTTTAGTCTCATTCATAACATGTCAGCATCAGCTTAGATATCAGAAAAGCTTGGAAGGAAAGCAAACAAAAGAAAATACAACACTTTATTGCATCAATTATACCCCAAACTACAAAAATGGTATTTTCGATGTCAAAAAGTGACTGAAAGTGCAACAGCGTGCTGTCTGTCTGTTGGAGCACTCTCATATTTGCTGCCGATCTAATGAATACATGCTAAACAGGAATGTTAAGATCCGTGGCTTGTGACATTTTCCATCCCACGTTCATCTGATACAACGGTGTAACCAGAACCAGCTGATAGCAGGAGCTGTGCTGCCAAGATAAAGGCACGTCTCAACCGCTTTCTTGGACAGAAAGAGAAAAGAGCAGAGCGTCTGATCTGAGGAAGACAACATCAGCATGCATGCATAGTTAATTCACTCATTGACGCTTTGATCAGCTTTCAGTAATTAATCCGTCTTGCTAACACGCATGTGCATTTGGAAATCAAACAAGCATTGCTGAGACTTTCACTCTTGCAGCATTTGTGTGGCTCAACTAATTATTTTTTTTTTGGGGGGGGGCTCGTTTGCCTCCATGCTGTCTCCAACACATAGGCTGACTAATGAGTGTGAACAGAGTGTTCTCAGCAGATTCGTTTCACTCCTTCTGCAGTTTCATGACATTTTAAGCACAGACATGCATCACAGCCACCCTCATGAGCTGCCAGGCTGTAATGCCATCTCTTCAGACATATAAAGGAAATCATTAGCTGTGTTGAATTGGAGCACAGTGCCACAGAGAGGCACATGAGCCCCACAGCTAAGATATTACTTTATACTTTAATCAGAAGTGAAAGGAGCATCACACGCTGCGTCTGCTACAATCAACACACTTGTGTTCTTCTGTTTTGGGTTTAAACACAGATAACGGTTTGCATTTGGGCCTTTTTCCTGACCAGTCATTTCTATTTCCTGTTTTTGTCTTTAAAACTAATATTTTAGGAGAATAAAACATGTAGATTAGTATTAATTCAGAATAGCTCTGCCACTGCTTGTTTTACAGGCCTGCTCATTTCCGTCTTTCCTTTCATAAAAGCGTGGCTGAACATCAACAACATCTTTCCATCTTTTGGTAAGACCATATGCATAGATTTGTTCACATTAATCGAGTTTACAGTAACATTTTTCCTTCTTGACTTTTCAGGAAACTTCAGAGTACACCCGGCAGTGATTGATCAACCATCTGAGACACTGAGACGAGAGGGTGAGTTAAAAGAAACTTTGGTGGGGAGGCAGCTAGCATTCGGGGGTCTTTAATACTTTATATTTTTGAAATATTAATGTGAAGCTGAAAATCCCAGTTCTCCAGATGATCCTCAAACTTTTGTCAGATTTATGAAAACAAAACTGTCACGTTAGTTCATTTATAACCAAAATACAAAGTTTTCCATGATTTCCACTCCAGCCCACCTGAATGCAAATGTTTGATGACCTGCTTGCCATGTTGGATTCTGCATGAGCCTGTTAATTACTCATTCGTGTTAATCATGAATAAGTAGGCATGCAATGAGAAACTCTTGGCGTTTTAGCAGCTCTTTTTAAATATCTTGCCAGGAACTCAGAGTCAGCTCCAACTGGAACGTTGCAAGAGTCGTATGGGAACATTTGTGGAGGGAGGACCAACGGCTGAACCCAACCCAGACGAGGGGTATGAACCCAAGTCTGACGATATCCATGTGCTGTTAATGAGGTTGTGCAGTGTGTTCAAAATCATAAACAAAATGGACAAATTGAGGAAAATAGAAGAAATGTCAGGCTTAAAAACAAAGTTGCCAAACAGCATCTTAAAAATATATCAAAGACCTGAAACAGGACCAGAAAGTTGCATCATACTTCAGCTGCTCTTCTATTGTCACATTCACCTCTTTGGGAATCAAAATCAGTGCTAAAATACTTTTTCATGACTCCATTTTTTATTTTTAGCTTTTTACCCCCACAGATTCAGTCATATAACAATTTCTTTGCATTATTCCTATAGTTATAGTTTTACCAGACGTAAAATGAGTGAAAAAGTATCCCAAGCCCAAAGAAAAACATTAAAAGGTCAGAAGAACCACTGACTGAGACTAATTTAGAAGATTACAGGTCACATTTTGAACCCAACTTGCAGAACAACAGCATTTAGCCCTCTTAGAGTTTGTTGCACACTGACGCACGCCAGATTAAACCTTTTGCTAGTGACTCATGCATATGTCTGTTGCAGGACTTCAGACATGCCAGATGTCTTATCGAGACGGAAACAGAAACAGTCATCCACTGATCAGGATCTGCCGTAATAATAAGCACGATGGAGCAACCAAACTATCCTGAGATCGGCTCATCATGTTTAAACTATGTGGTCTAATAAATCAAGAATAAATGATAATGACTGGTGGAATATTGCTTAATACTTCCCAGCACGATTTCAGTCAGTTTTAGTCTAATTAGTGACACAGTTAGGGATACATGTTTTATTAAAATGTAAATTTCCAGCTCATTAAAGCAAACGCATGCACACAGATAAACAACAACACCTTTTACATGCACACCGTGACCTGCACCCCATCGTGCAACATGATGTCCTTATGCAGGACAGCACCGAGAGAGCAGCTGCTGCGTGAAAAGCATGGAGGGAAAGATGACCGTGGCCTGACCACAAACATATCGTGCTGTGAAGCTGACTAATGTTGAGTTGTGTTGGTAAGTCTAACCAACAGAAATGGTGGCTCGATGACAGGCTACAAATCACAATGTCTTCCTGCACAATCATGCATTCATCGTGTCAACTTCTGAATTGGCACACAAAGACCAAAGCATTAACATTCATGTGAAGGTTTGCAAGTTGTAGGATTTCACCCCAAAAATTATCAAAAGAAACACAAAGATTGTGAGGAAAAACAGACAAGCAAAGGATAAAAAATATATTCTATTGTAGATCAACAGAATCTGAAAGCCATTGTAGCTCCTGTGCTATTAAGCAGAGGGTAATTAACTACTGGACCAGATCTAGGTTAAAATGGAAACGCCATAGTCCACAACAGATAAATAAACAAAGACAAACAATAAACTAATAAATGCCATTTCATTTATTTGAAGTACTTTAGAATTATCCTTCGTAATTCAAACTTTTACCCTTTGGGTTAAAGATCTAATAAAGGTTTAATTCTTAATTCCTAATCTAAACTTCCCATTTTATGTATGGCTGGTCATCTAATTACTTTGAATTGGACTCATTTATGTTTAAGTTTGAATGAAGTTTGTACAATTCCTTTCTTTCAGTTTATACAATTCTCTCAATTTAATTTCAAAAAGATTTTTGTCACTTTAAAATCAAAGTTTAGGGACCACCCTTTAAAAGTACAAAAAAGATATATATGTTCACATGGACTAGGGTTTGGGATTGTGTCGTCAACACTGACGCGGCCACCCCATTGGCTGCCTCCGAGTCCTTACTTGTTACTCCAGACAATGGCGCGTTCAGTCTTGTTCTTGCGGCTTAATTTGAACTATGAATCATTTTTACACAACCATGGTAAATCGTTGCTGTGTTATGGGGTGCAACATGTGATCGCCAGAGAAGAAGCTGGAAAATGGGATAACATTTCACCTTTTTCCATCTTGGAGGCACGAGCACAGAAACCAAGTATCTAGCATTACAAAGTCTCGTCGGATTGTTTGGATCGCAGCTGTAAGGCGATCAAACATAACCTTCCAGAGTATGTTCTTTCTGGTAAGTTACAGATGTACGTTTTTTTTAATATGTTGTTTCTTTCCTTTAACTGCAACATGCACAAACAACACACACATATGCAACACTCACACACTCACCGGTAGGCTAATGAGGGCACTGACACACAACACAACTTCTGCTACACTTCTATGGGAAGACACTTTCGATTGTTGTACTAAAAAAATAGCAAATCAAACATTTACCTCTCTTCCAGATGTTTACATCTGCTCACACCACAAACACGGTGCACCAGTCTTGGGTCTTTCATAAAGATCCAAACTGTTAATAATGCTGATTTTGTCCATATACCGGTCCCCGGCTTCTCTATTTAACGTATCCCTGCTTATTACGCATAATGTTTTGGATTTTAACATGTTTAACACTTCCTTTCTCCCAAATCTGCTACTTCTCTGCAACGTACTGTTTGTTTTCACGGTTTGTTTACACGTTGATGGCAAGGCCATCAACATGTCTGCACACATCCCAGAATGCAACACATCAGGTGTGATCTTGAGCCTGATTACCATCAACATATAAAAATATGGACATACTGTAGCCAAGGCTTAATTTGAGCCGGATCTTGCCGGAACAAGATCCGGATACTGTCTTATTTTGAAAGGACCATTCCAGAAACTGTCTACTAGGTTCCGGCAACTCATGTGACCAACTTGTGCTATACGCAGGGTCCGAATTACAGGTGAGCTAAAGGGAGCTCCTGGAAGCCCTCAGCTTACACACCCAGGGGGAGCCCCCCAAAAGATCCTGGTTCTACTTATATGAACTAATTATTTGGACTCTCCGGGGATTATTTTGAGCTGAGAAGCGCAGAGCGTTCCGGGATCCTGCCTCAAGTAGAGGAGTTTAAGTATCTCAGGGTCTTGTTTACGAGTGAGGGAAAAATGGAGCGTGAGATCGACAGGTGGATTGGTGCTGCGGGCGTTGTACCGGTCTGTCTTGGTGAAGAGGGAACTGAGCCGGAAGGTGAAGCCCTCGATTTACCGATAGATCTAAGTTCCATCCCTCTTTTATATTTACGAGATTTGGGTAGTGACCGAAAGAATGAGACCGCCCATACAAGCAGCCAAAATGAGTTTTCTCTGCAGGGTGGAGATAGGGTGAGAAGCTCAGTTATCCATGAGGGGCTAGACGTGCTGCTCCTTCACGTCGAGAGGAGCCAGCTGAGGTGGCTCGGACATCTGGTCAGGATGCCTCAACGCCTTCCTGGTGAGGTTTTGATAAATGATAATGATAAATGACCCGCACTTGTATAGCGCCTCTCAGAGTAAGAACTCCAAAGCGCTTTACACTACAGTGTATCATTCATCCATTCACACACACATTCATACACTGGTGGGGATGAGCTACGATGTAGCCACAGCTGCACAGCTTTCCGGGCACGTCAAACTTGTAGACCCAAGGGAAGACCCAGGACACGAGGGACTATGTCTCTCAGATGGATAAAGAATGCTTTGGGATTCTCCAGGAAGAGCTGGCCCAAGTAAGGAAAAGGGATGAGCCTCCTTGCTTAGGCTACTGCCCCATGTGACCCGACCCCAGATAAGCGGCTGAAAATGGATGAATGGATGGATGGATGGTGATTAGATTTCAAATTTACGTGTGAACCAATGGTTTTGTATTGGGACATTCATCTTTACTCAGACACGCTTTTCTTTATCTGTTTTTTTTTTTTTTATGAAGTTGGACCAACCTAACCCCAACACTGACCACAACGTTTAGCAATGAGTTTATGGGAATTTTTAACCATTCCTCCACAAGTCAGGCACCAAAGTGGAAGGTCTCTGCTCTAATTCTTTCCAGTTTACAACAGTTTACAACACCTGATTCTACTGATTTGAAAGAGTGTCCCAATACTTTTGGCAATACAATGAAATTGTTTTTTTAAAGCCTTATAAAAATACTACTGTAAAAGTAAATCTGGATCATTGGAGCAAAAAGAAAAATATGTAATAGAATCTGTAACTGCAGAAAACGTTAGAAATACAGGTTATGGAATGCAAAATACATATATAACAACATGAATACTTGACCTGTTGTTTGCATTCTTTTTCTGAATCTTACTGTTAACTGTTTTGTAAAGCACTTTGATTTGTTACAGTTCTTTTTAATTTACAAAAAACCTGATTTGACTTAAAAATTACGATGTGCCAATGATAAAACGAACCATGACAAAAAATATATATATAAAATCTGGTGAAATACAGGTTAAAAAAGTGAAGTCAGTCGCAATAAACCAAACGACAAGCTGATTATAAAGTTTTACAATAGAGTTTGCGGTGATTGGCAGTTTGTTGCCCTGACATCAAAGGTCTGATGATAGACAGCCGTGAATGACCTGAATCCAGAAGAGCAGCATCACCAGCAACGCATCAGCTAAATATAAGATGCTGAGAAAACCAGGGAGCAACCGTTTTCATCTTCTTCATACCCCGCCCCTTACATACACACGCACACAACACACGCGCGCGCACAACGAGCTGCTCCCCAGACGCACGGTGATGGATGGATCGGTGACGCGTAAGGAGCGTCACATCCAGCGGCTCCACAGATGAGGAAAAAGGCTCTGCGCGGCTCATCAGGTCGTAATTAAAGAACCATGAAGCTCACGCCGCGACTGTCGGAGGGTGTGGATGGTTTTCTCTCCATCTCCGCGGCAGGGGTGACCTGCCAGGTACGTCTCGCCAGGTCCACATTAGGAGCAGCATCTGCTGAGCGTCAGCTGAAAGGAACCGTCGTCTCACCTAAGTGATCTTCTCTTAATTCCTGGATTTTTTTTGCGTCCCACAGAAAGTCGGATCGTCGTAACCTTGTTTTATCCTGACTGATATGACTTCTGCCCTCAGATTATTTTTTTAAAAAGCTTCAAAGGGGAAGCAAAATCTTCGTTTGGTGTTTACTTACGCTGCCAGCAATTACATGCGACATATAGACCTAGTTACCGAGAAAATCTACCGAGTGAACAATGGAAAAGCTTTCATCATCATGTCAACATAAAGGGTAAGACTCAATTTATAAGGACCGTTTAAATGCAAATGTCACTTTATTTATTTTAAGGCCCATTTACTGGCAACAAAATGCAAATTATAAACATGTCTTCAGTTGTCTACCTTCTCAAGAATAAAAGAAGACATTTGCATTTTACCAGAAACTGTCTGATGTGGTTCTGAATCATGAGGCTGCAGGGAGACTTAACACATTTTAGTTCACAGATCCAGAGAACACAGAGATGCTCAAGAGGCATGTTTTATTCAGGACTAGTGAGCAAGGGAAAGAACTGGCCTTGGTGTAAAGGCGGTATTATCAATTGTTTATATTTTTGTACATTTGTTATTCTCCGGTGTTCCAACAGAGGATGTCACAAAGTTTGGTTATTTATCAGTATTTTACAGATGATATCGTTTGAGCTTCAAAAGCCAGTTTTGAACTTTTTTCATTGTCTTGGAGATCAGGATGATTTTTGCGTCAAGAAGAAAAAAACTCAGTGCTACACGTATGTTTACAGCCTTTCCTCTCATTTGTAATGTAGAGAAGTGGCAGAGCAGTGATGGATGACCAGAGCTCGGTGACAGATTACGCGGCCTTAGAGCAAAGACTCTGCTCTCTGCTCATAGCCGGCTGTCAGAACAAGTCACTGCTCAAGTTTAGTTTCATTTTTCTCTTTCTGTGTCTTTAAAACAGATAGAAGATGAAAGCGAGAGGGTCTGAAGGTGATGACATAGTCATCACTGATAGGAACAACGGCATCCCTGCTCCTATAAAGGAGCCCCAGAAGAAGAAGAAGAAGAAGTCCCGTCCTCACGGTCTCCCGTCTCCAGCTCTTTGCTGTGCCTGTGGCCTATGCATCATGCTGGCAGGACTCAACATCACCCTGGTGGGAGCGTTCGCCTTCAGCACATTGGTGCCTTCTGCCAACCCCCCGATCATCATTGGACCTGCCCTGCTGCTGGTGGCCTTCTCTTTTTTTGGAGCCTGCTGCGTGTGCAGCCGCCTCCCTCCTCCCCACAGCTCACGGGGATCCAAGGCGAGCGGCAGGGGCACGGGGCTGATGGGACACGGCGGACTGGCCGGCGGGGCAGCTTTTGAAATAGAGACCAGCGAGCACACCCTGCAGGACACCACAGCCGTGCAACTGAGCCCAACATCTTCCCCTGGATCGTCAAGGGCCCCCAGCCCAGAAGTGGAGGATCCTGGTGCAACCCTGCCTTGCGAGCTATTCACCATGGAGACCAACGGTCCTAGCGGTGCTCCAGGCACCGCGGTGTATTCGGTTTCTGAAGCAGCAGACGGGGAGGTGAGGCTCAACCTCCCACGTGAGGAAGTGGCCACCTAGACCAGAACCTGAGTTCTGTGTACATATGCTTCTCCCGAGTCTAGGGGTTGCAGGCATTGATTGTGTCCTTTTGTTTACGTAGTGCCACATGCAGATGTTAGCATGCAAACCTAACCAAGCATCAGAGTATTTGGGGATTCTTAGATAAAGGAATTTAAATTCCTACCTCCCTTACAGGTCTGTCATAAATGAGGGGCATTATAAACACCTTTGTGGAAGGAATTTATTTTCTGCTGCTGCTGCAGCGATCACGTCAGTCGATGGACTTTTCAGATGGTTTGAGTGAAAATTTTTGATCATTCATTCATTCATTCTGAAATGATTACATTTGAAAGGTCAGCAACTGATCTTGATTTTGTGAGCCGTGCTGAGTAATGAATTTTTTTAGGGTCGTGAAAGTCCACCGGCCACATGGTCCCAAAGCAATGTCCTCTCACTGCCGGTTAGCATCTCGGCACATAACTACAGCCATTAGATTTAGCATTTTGTGAAAATGTGCGCAATTTTGACTCTTAGATGCATTCTTATCGTGGTTTGATGTAGTTTTTGTCACCATGCCAACAGTAACACTATGAAAACTGTGATTCACTATGTGTCTGATAAGATTCTGTTGAACTTTCCTGGTATTTACGTCACTGGAAAGCCAAGTTTTACGGAGTTCCCTATCACTGTGATGTCTTCTTGTGAGCCATAAGCCTGAGCGGTCGCAGGAGACATTAAAACCCTGATCTCCTTCGAAAGGAAAGTTGCCTTAGACTGAAACTTCAGGATTAATCTAATGAGGGCTAAACTAAAGTGCACAACAGCAGTTTTCTTCAGTAAGCCTCTCTTTTACTCTGAATTTGACGGAAAGAGTTGACTTTTGTTTTGTAATTATTATAAATTGCATGCAAAATGATCTAAGTGTTCCGTGTAAATGTAAATCTAAGAGGAGCAGCAGCAGACAGACAGAGCCACTCTTTTATCCTCAAAGCAGGCAGTTTTTTTTTACTAGCTTCACGCTAAACACCGAAGCTAAGATCAGTTCTGCATGTTTTGGAAATAATAAAAAAAAAAACGGAGAAGCACACACAACCTGTTGTGGAATGCTGGTATTGTCTGTGTTTTTGTTTGTGTGAGACATAAAAAACAAGTAAAGGATGACATATTTTTGTGAGGAAGTAATCGACCCAAATGTGAATCCTTTAACGCGTGTGAATAAAAATGATCTTTGGGTAAAACGGGAGATTAGTGGTGTTAATGCGCGGTCTGCATTTAGTGTCATTTTGAATTTAGTGCAGCATTTTCACAAAAAGAAAGCATCAAAATGTACAGTCTAATTTTTTTACTATCATATTCCGTCAAAATTTAAATTACTCATCTGATTATGTGCTTTTAAAAATGTCACCACCTAGAAAATCACTGCAACCACAGTTTCTCCAAAAATCATCTTACAGTCATAGAAATGATGTTTCATAATGAACAACCCTGCTAGTTAACCAGCTCTGGTGTTTAGTCTGCTGCGAGGGATGAAAAAATATTTTCTGGCTTCCAAACACATTTGATCAAGACGGTTGTTGCAAAGAGTTCAACTCCAGCTCCATCTGGCTCCTCTGCTGAGAAGCGTTTGCATGTGAGGACAGAAAGTCCCCACTAGATGATGCCAGAGCAGTAGTTTTGATTTTCTGTCTGGTTACATAAAACTTTCCCTTTTTTTTCCTCATCTTGAAGAAAAACATTAAATTAAAACCAGTGTGCGGTTAGCTCTTGGCCGCTGCGGATGATGTGAGTATAGCTGGTGTCTAAAACACCTACACAACATTAATGTAATATGAAGTGATGATTTAACGAACACAAAGCCTCTCATAATTGATATTATGATGCGATGAGCTATGAAAACACGACATTAGGATTTTCACCAGAGATTCAGAGCTTCTGATGTGGCTCTTTTGCACATGAAAGGATGAAGCATCCAGTTTGTGGTGTCCTACTTTCCACAGATGAACAAAAGGAAGTTTATTGCTATATTTGTTTAAGATTGCATTTGATGTGAGTTTCATATTCAAGACTTGTTCCCCCAAGTCCCAGTAACAAGTCAAAATTATTTGGATGCATTAGCTTAAAAAGTGACTCTTTAGATGATAAAAAAGTGTTTTTTTTTGGGGGGGGGGGGGGGGGGGGGTAATGCATAAAAACCAACTGTTCTGTGTTTTGATCTGTTTCTATTAACTGTGGCATTGAGGTGAAGAAGTCTTGGAAAGCAGATGGTCGGCTGAGGCTTGTTACTAGAGGAGCCAGAAGGGGAGCTCAGTCAAGACACTAAGGCTGTCAGTTCTCTGTGGCCCATAATCGGGTTTTATGTTATTAGAATCAAATTGGAACAGACGATTTCTGAGAGAATAAATATCAAACAACCCACATTTTTAACTGCCTCCAAGTTTCTGTCATGCAGTGGATACTGCGCAATCCCCCGAGGCCACCATCAAACATGCCTCTTCTTCCCGCAGCCTGTGCCTTTTGAATGCAGGGGCTTGTTAAACACTCGGGCACATTTATCCACCTGGATGCTGGAAGATTGAGGATCTATTGGAGGTGAACAGGTTTGTGGCTGAGCTATTGTTTGTGCAGAGTATTTTTATATTTATGGTGGGCAAAGTTCGAGGAGTCGGGTCACGCTAGCCTCCGCAGTTTAGCTTACCGCTTGAAAAAAAACTAGGGTAACACACAGATGACTTTTACCTCTCAAGTGCTTTTGTCATCTTGTGATGACACCCAGCTCTGAGGCAGCTTTAAAAACCCTTTTAATTGGAAAAAAAGCTGTAAATTTCCTCTAGTGCCCTTCATACTCTGGCAAACTGTCAAAACACAGTTTTCTCTCAGCTTTTAAAAAAGTGGCTCTTTTACAGCTCGCACAGAGCAGGAATGGAAACTTCCTTATTGCTGGTAATAAGTTGTAGTTCTTGGACAGCTCCTTTGGCACGGAGCAGTCCTGCCAATGATGGATAATGAATGCTTTGAGCAGATGTACCATCTAGGCCTTTGACCTGGTTCACTTTTATTTCACCAAAGCAGTGAACCCTGAGATGGCAGCTTGTTGGATGGGACTGATCAGCAAAAACAACCGAACACATGTTTACTGAAGAAGAAAAACTCAGGAAAGAACTGTATTTGCATCATGCATGCTCTCGTGTCCATGTGAGAGTACAGTCTGGATTCATTCATTCAAATAGCTGCAGTGATGGTGGTGAACACGCACAACCACACACACGCACAGAAACAGCTGACCTCGCGTGCATCCACTGCATGTCGTCTTCACTTCATCTGACAAAACAGCCGAAAACACACACATACAGACACCTGTGCTCACAAGCGTCCTATCCGCTCTGAGCCGGAGCACGGCGGATCCAGACACTCCTGCTCTGATGCGCTCGTGAGCGAAAACACTCAGCGAAATGAGTTGAGGAGAAGGGAGGGGGGTGTAATCAAGCTGAAAAGATTAGGGGGAAGACGAAGCTGCCGAGGATCCATGAGAACAGACAATGGTTATATAACTCTAACCCAGTTCACTCCGCTTCCAGAGACAAACTGGGAGGGGAGGGTGCACAAGATTCTCGCATTCAGACCAAAATGTACCAGGTCATTCATTATCTGTGTGCAAGCTTAGATGACAATGTGCGACAAAGATTTAATTGCCCACATTTTCTCCAGCTCAGAAAGGATATCGCTCTTTACAATTGTTATGGCCAACCATGTGTTCAGGTGTTAATACTCCTGCAACTCTGCGAGGCAGGTGTTTGCTCAAGGAAGCGCTCTGAGTACCTTTAAAACAGCTGATTTGATCAGAAAACACACATCTTGTTTCTGTCTAAGTGCTGACAGGGTTGTTTTGGTTCTCTGTGTGCTGTGCAAGTGGGCCTCATGACTGTGGGGCCCTATTATTTGGTCTATGGCAGAAGCAGCTTGGAAGAAAGGGATTTTGATAAAAAATCAAACCAGCATCCTAATAGTTGCAGAGCCTTGCATACCAATGGCAGCTGACAATGGATCCCTTGCTGTTCTGAATTCCTCCATTCACCCTTGGCAAAAAGAAGTATATTCAAGTGGCCGGGCTGTTGCATAAGCGAGCGTTTTACTAATTTATACGTGGGCCCCGGAAGAGGGGTTGTGCATGAAGAGAGGGTTTGGGAAAATACATAAACAAGATGCGATAACAGGGCAAACATCAACTCTCTGCAGATCCATCTTTTTATCCCAGCAGTCAGTGCTGCTTTCACAGTTTATTTTGTCTTTGTTTCCTTGAAGTTTATCCTCATGCACATTTGTTTTGCAAAATATATTGAGACTGACCTAAAATACCAACATTTGAGGCAATACTTAAGGTGATGACTTGTCAGGTACTCAGGAAACCAAAATAGCTTGGTGTGATAAATCAGAGCAATGTTTGCACAAAAATACATGATTTCACTCTAAAATCGACACTTCTGATAAGATGCTGTGTACAGTGAGTGTCCCAGGTGATGGCGTCTCGGTAGACACCTGTCTAATGTGGTTACAGAACCACATTATGGTACTGGGATCTCCTGAGGTGCCCAAGATTTGGTAAACAACGTGCAGTACCACGTTATTCCAGCAGAGGTCACCTCTGATTCTCAGAATAACCTGGGGACAAAATGACAAAACACTTTCAGACTGCTTCAGACTGGTTTCTGTGTTCCACATCTTCAGAAGGCTGTCACACTCAGGATATCACCATCCCGTCAGCTCTTTGTGCACTCAGCACGTTGTACCTCTGCACCACAGTGATCACAGCAGGTCACCAGCAGATCTCTTGGAACAAGGCCAGTAAATCTACTCTAATTGCTTTATGTGCAGCAGCTGAACTTGTGTTCATGCAGTAAAGGCAATCCTTTAGTCCAAACAGCCACTTGTACCTTCATCCCAGCGTGCTCTTGCGTCTGCTTTTGTGGGTTTGTAATGCTTTGATGACTGCTTGTTATGACAGTGATTTTACTCAAGAAATGATGATGGGTAGTTTTCTGCTTACCTGTGCACTCACCACTTACACATCTTACATGATTTAATGATACGATCAGTGAGAGGAGACACTGAACTGTTATTGAAATAAAGACCCCATAATTCCTGGACTCTAATGTGTTGGGTTTCATGTTTACGTAAATATTGGGATCGGTGCTTGGCGAAACTACTAACAGTGACGGAGAGTCCTCGAAAAGGCCTGTTAGTAGAGAGCTGGTGGCTGTGGACATTGACCACCTGTTGGAGAGGGAAGCCATTCTCACAGTGCGTTGGCCTGCTGGTTTTTCTAGCAGTGAATCAGGTTTGCCATGGCAGCGGCTATCGGCACACACGGCACTGTGGGGGTGGCCAGTCGGTGTCAGCACTGATTACCATTCGCTGCTTTAGTGGAACCTCTTCCAGGAGTCCTTTATAAACAAATAAAAACGGGATGCTTTACACTTTAATGGCTTTCCCACAGAGGCTCTCTCCTGAACAACAAGCACTGACAGTGGAGGAGAGTCCTCACAGCTCGGCACAGGATGGGAAATACTGACTCCACTGTCTGCACGGACTGCAAAGCCAGCCAAAAAGGAAGGGGGGGATAATCAGGTCTTTATGTGGCATGAGACGTACAGGGGACAGCTAAGGTATTGTCCCCACAGCCCTGACCCTCATCACAATTCAATTGTTCCCTGTGGTCACGTTGAGACACCCCTACAACAAAAAACAAATGCACTGCATTTGACTCCCTCGGAAAAAACAAACCAACCAGCTGACCACTGGACCTCCAGGTTAAGATGATTTCCAGGTGCTTTCTCAGATCCTCTGATGACATTTACTGAAGTTAACATTCAAGATAAAATAGTTCAACCTCACTGTGATGCCCCTCCCAAAAAAACTTTAAAGTCATGTTCTGAATATAGGGATGTCCAGTAATATCGGCTAACCAATACCCAATACAGGCATTATGTCATATCTTGACTTATCATTATCAGATTTTACTCTCTTATGACACGACTTTTACAAACTTCTTCAGCTTCTTTTCCTCTTACTTAAGACGTCAAAATAAGACAGATCCGACACAGAGTTTTGAGACATTTTGTGTGTTTGTCACCACTTGTCAAGAAGTAAAAATTTGGTCTGTGTAATTTTTTTTAAAATCAGGATTATTTCAAGAAAACGTTATTCAGCTGCTGTTGGAGACACAAAAAAATGGCACCTCATT